AACGCCCTTTTTTGTATGGATACGCGGGCTTTGATGCTCTCTCACTATTTTTGGCACTCTTTTGCCGGAATTCGTCATCTCTTTGTCTAATAAACTCAGTCCAATCTTCTTGTTTAATGAAAAGATTATACTTTTCTGGCCTTCCGGCCGGGAACTCTTCCAGCCACTTTCCTTTGTCATCCTTAAGATAGGTGTTCGTCAACAGATTTTTCCACCCTCTAAATCTTTTCCCGGCCAACCCAAGTACGGAGCCTTTACGCTCATCTGGAACGTTAAAAGACCGCTGCGTATAAACCATATAAACATATAAGTAATTTAAAAACCATATAAACCATATAAACATATAAGTAGTTTAAAAACCATATACACCATATAAACTTATAAACTTATAAACATATAACCATATAAACCATATAACATACATACCTTCACATCTTCCCAAAACATTTCTTTTCCTTGCTTCAATGCTTCACATTGTTTCGCATTCCATCTAGATATGGAGATTGGCACATGCATACGAACAAGTGTACCAACGTAGCTTGTGAATTTTGAAGCATTAACCCCAACTACTTGATTTGAATGATTCCAATCTACATTATATATCACTCCCTTATCTCTAGCACGAATGATTTCGCGCATTATGGTGATGCCTCGTGCAACATCATTTGCTGAAGTATCATCCGCTGCATGATTTGTTTCTTGTGAGTTTTCATGATCTTGTTGGTTTCCTGGTGGGTTTTCTTGTTGGTTTCCTTGTGGGTTTTCTTCATTGCTAGCCATTAGACCTGTAACAAAAGTCAAACAAGCACATTAGTACACTACATGAAAATGGATAGTCGAAAAAGATATGAATAGCACTAAAGGAACTCAAAATTGAATAAAATGCTAAAAAACCAAACTTGCAAGAAATAAACCTCACCATCAGCTCCGGAAACATTGTTCTACTAAATAAACACTAGTCACATTCGCAAAAATTCAAAACGGTTCAAAAGATATGCCAAAAATTCAAAACATTATTCACATATTACTTACAATATTAGGCTATAATTATAATAATACCTTTTTCACTAACGTCTCTTTCTTTTCTTGGTAGCAATATATTTTACGCTTCTGTTAACAACTCGGATGGTTGGATTGATCCAAATACCCTCATTATGATCATCTCTAGTACAAGGTTCATTCTCATTTTGATCGTTTCTTGTACAAGATTCAATGCCAACGCCAATATCACCTTGATCTCCAATGTTTTCATCAATTACTTTGTTAGACAAAAGCACTATAGACCATTTCGTACTTGTCGGATCATTGACATAGAACACTTGTTTAGCCTGAGAGGCTAGAATAAAAGGTTCATCTTTGTACCCCACCCTATTGAGATCCACTTGCAAAAATCCTGACTTATCCATTCGTACGCCATTATTATTTTCAACCCACTTGCAATCAAATACAGGAATCTGAAACTTCCCGTAATCAAACAACAAAATGCGCTCGATAACCCCAAAATATGACAGATTTGCAAATTTCGGTTTAAGTCATTCGCACTTGATATGTGCATCGCTTCAGCTACCAAGGTAACACCACTATTCTGCATAGTACTTTTATCATCCTGTTCTTTGGTATAAAATGTGTATCCATTAATTGCGTATGCGCTATAAGAAAACACAATCATACTTGGACCATATGCTAAACATCTCAACCTTTCTGTTACTGAAGCAGGATCCGAACGATACTTTGAATAAATTTGTTCCTTAAACCACGGTATGAAACTTCGATTGCGCTCTCGTACTATCCAATTATCATTTCTATTCAGATTTAAACCTCGAAGAACACCCTTGTGCATTTCAGCATACGGCTCAACCTCAATCTCATTGTGCAGAACATACAAATGCACCTGATCCCGTTCGACCATTGACACTGTCACAACTTTATTTCCAATTAGTCTTTTTCCTTCTTTTTTCTCGACAATATGAGATTTGGGGAGTCCAATTGATTGAACATTTGACAGATATTCAGTGCAAAACTCAACCGCTTCTTCAACAATGTATCGTTCCGCAATACAACCCTCCGGTCGACTTCGGTTTTTCACGTACCCTTTTAAAATTTTCATATAACGTTCAGCAGGGTACATCCATCTCATATAAGCTGGTCCGCACAACTGTGTCTCTTTGACAAGATGAACGACTAGATGAACCATTATGTCAAAAAACGAGGGAGGAAAATACATTTCAAGCTCACATAAAGTAACAACCACCTCTTTTTGCAATGTTGGTAAGATCGCAGGATCGATCACCTTGCTGCAAATTGACTTGAAGAAAAAACACAACTTAGTTATTGCGCTCCTTACTTTTTCTGGCAAAATAGAACGTATACATATTGGTAGAAAATGTTCCATTATAACATGGCAATCATGAGTCTTTAAACTCTTTAACTTTAGGTCTTTCATTGACACAAGTCTTCTAATATCTGATGAGTAGCCTTCTGGAACTTTAACTTCACTGAGGAACTTACACAATATTTTCTTCTCCTTTCTAGATAGAGTGTAAACAGCAGGTGGTAGATATGTGCGTCTTCCTTTCGTCACGGGTGCCAATTCAGTTCTAATTCCCATGTTTAACATGTCCTTCCTTATGTTAATGCCATCCTTAGACTTTCCTTGTATATTGAGTAACGTACCAATAACACTATCAAATACATTTTTTTCAATATGCATAACATCGAGGAAATGTCTTACGTACAACGACTTCCAATATGGAAGTTCAAAAAAAATCGACCTCTTCTTCCACCCACTCGTGACAAGTCTATGTGCAAAAGGCTTGCCAAACTCAGTACTCACATCTTTCACCTTTTCAAAAATCTGATCACCTGTCAACATATGTGGAGCTCTACCGTATTCTGCCTCTCCATTGAATGCCTTTCTCCACCCACGATAGTGATGATTAGAATTTAAGAATCTACGATGACCGAGAAAAACATTCTTCTGACAAAAGTTCAATCGCATCGTATCGGTTTCATCTTCACAAACAGGACACGCTTTTTGACCCTTAATGCCGTACCCTGATAGATTTCCGTACGCCGGAAAATCATTAATTGTTCCAAACAACATCGCCCTCAAGTTGAAACTTTCTTTCCTATACCCATCGTAAACCTCCACACCGGTCTCCCACAAAAACTTCAAATCTTCGACTAAGGGTGCCAAGTACACGTCTATGTCATTCCCTGGTTGTTTGGGCCCAGAAATTAACATAGATAGCATCATGTACTTACGCTTCATACATAGCCACGGAGGTAGGTTATATATCATAAGAATCACGGGCCAGGTGCTATGCGAGATACTTTGAATACCATGCGGGTTCATTCCATCAGTAGACAACGACAAGCGAAGATTTCTTGCTTCTTTTCCAAATTCAGGATAATCAATATCAACTTTCGTCCACTGTGGTGAGTCTGCCGGATGTCGCAACTTCCCATCAATAATTCTTTCATCTGCATGCCAAGTCAAGTGTCTTGAATCAGTCTCACTACGATACATGCGCCTAAATCTCGGAATTATAGGAAAATACCATAACACCTTTTCCGGAGACAACTTTTCCTTATATCGAGGGGCACCGCATTTAGGACACTCATTTAACACTGCGTACTCGTTTCGAAATAAAACGCAATCTTTTGGACATGCATGTATCTTTTCATAGCTCATGCCAATAGAGGACAACATCTTTTTGGCCTCATACGTTCGATTGGGAAGAACATTATCCTCTGGTAGCATTTCTTTCACGAGGGCTAATAACTGTGTGAAACTTTTATCCGACCATCCGTTGTCCGCCTTTAAGTTGTACAACTTTAACACCGCAGACAATCTTGTGAATTTTGTACAACCATCATACAACGGTTTCTCTGCATCGCTTACCAACCTCTCGAACATTTTGGGACAATCCTCAAGATCTTCTTCAAGCGCTTCTGCAATCTCTTCGACTCGATCATAATCGTATGCGTCTGCGAAATCCTCATTTGAAGCATACGTCGTATTATAACTCGATTCAACATTCCCGCTACTTTTCTCACCATGCAAATTCCAACATGCATAACTTCTATCAATTCCATGCATCAGTAAATGCGATTCCAACTGAATCGCGTCAACCCGTCTCCCATAACAGCATCTCAAGCAAGGACATATCATTCCATTGGGTTCTCTGGCGTGCGCAACGGCAAACTTAACGAATTCTGATACCCCATCCTCATACTCTTTCGACAATCGATTGGCAGTCATCCATTTTTTATCCATGGTTTGACTATAGCAACTAATTAGTCACGCAACTATAGCAAAATAATAATTAATTACCTGTAAAGACAATCAGTTATTCAAGTCAGTTCAAGAATAGGATAGAAACCTTTGAAAATGTTGAGAGCGTCCCGCGTACACTACGATCAAGGACAGTTCGAATTTCTTCAATCGGAGAAAGCTATCCTATGCGGGAAAGGCTATTTTAATACAAGTTATGGCTCAGGCTATGCCTACTTACCCCATGAGTGTGTTCAAATTCCTGGAGAATATGTGTGAGGACATAGAAAGAATCATGTGCAACTACTGATGGGGTTCTAAGGACAATGATATGAAAATTTGTTTGATCAGCTAGGATAAGATGTGTTAGGCTAAAGACAAAGGTGGTATGGGATACAGAAATATGAGTGCTTTCAATGATGCAATTCTAGCCAAACAAGCCTGGAGACTTAGTATCAATCCTAACACTCTTATTCACTAATGTTTAAAGGCAAAGTATTTTTCCAACCAAGACACTCTTGCAGCAAATTATAAACCTACAAATAGCTATTTATGGAAAAGCATCATAAAGTCTAAGGATATTATGAAGGAACGCTGCTGCTGGAAAATTGGTAATAGGTTAAATACTAAAGTCTGGGAGGATCAATCGTTGCCTTATCAAGACAGTTACAAAATTGTCATAAGTAAACCTATGAATACTCAAGTGTACTAGGTGAGATACCTAATGGATGCGGATGGCTGTAACTGGAATACTCAGGTTATAGACCAAAATTTTCTTCCTTATGGCAAGGAAAGAATCCTTCAGATTCCAATAGGAACTAACGATGATCAGGACTCCATCTTGTGGATGGCCACCAAAGATGGCAATTATACTGTTAAGTCTGGCTGTCACTGTATTCTTAATCAGTACTCTAGTGATCAGCCTAGTGGCTCTGACAGAGATAAGATGAAGAATATGTGGCAGATATACTGGAAGGTCAAAGTGCAACCTAAGATTAAGGTGTTTGGGTGGACTATTCTCAATAACACCACACCTAATCATAGTTCCCTGAGTGAGAAGAGAGAATAATGTCCTGTTTACTGTCTTATGTGTCATCACCAGAAGGAAACTCAAGATCATTTGTTTATTAACTGTCAAAATTCTAAAAGGATATGGTTTGGTTCTAACTGTAACATTAATTTTCACAACAAAGGCAACAAGACTATAATTGACCAGATGTGGCACATAAAAATCAAAACAGACTAGGAAATAATTGGGAAAGTTCTAACCTACCTCTACTACATTTGAAGGGCTAGGAACAAGAGGTTTTCGAGTTTCAACAAGTTCCAACTAACAGGTGCTTAATTATGCTAAAATCATATACTAAAAACAATAAACTTTCCATCATCAATAAACAATATCCAAACTATTTTTCAAACCAAATCATGTAAACTATTTCAAACAATTTAAACCAATAATACTCTCTCACACTTTACACGAATTATTATAACCTCACTCTTTCATTATCTAGTCGCAGCTAAAATAGCAGTAGCAGTTGGAAGAATATATCTCAGATTTTGAATACATATCTTCTCAGGTTGAGAGTCTCCCTCAAGAACAATACCTAGGGTACTATTTGGGAGGTCAAGAACAATACCTAGGGTACTTTTTGGGAGGTCTCAAACCAGAAATTCACCTGAGGATGAGGACCTTAAATCGACAGCGGCACTGACCACAACTTTGTATCTCCCCAACATCGGGTCTCATGGAGAATTTGAATGGCTCCTTGAGGGTTAGGCTTGAAAATTGACATCATGTTCTACTGAAGGGAAATGCTCTGAGCTGGAGGTTTAGTTGGATAACTTAACTACCACATTGGATGCTTATATCTTGGAGATGGAGGATTTGGACATGATATTGGGGGTGGTTTGGTTGTAGAAATTTTGTAAGGTTCCTTTTTATTAGGGGAAATGACCATAAGTTTCCAAGGGTAGGAGGTAAGAGTTGAGCTTCACAGAAAACTCCTTAATGAGGAGAACTCAACCCTCGAAAAGGAAGCACAACCCCAACTAGTTTGTTTTCTAGTTTCTTGGAGGAGAAGGGAAAGGAGGTAGAGTTTGGTAAGGCTCAAGGAATGATGCCACATCAGTAGAGTTTACCTTGCTGAGTGCCTTGGACAAAACAAATGAATGAATTTGAGGAGGTGCTCTGACCTCCAAAGATATTCAAAGAGGTGGACAACGAACATGAATATGGCAAGCTAAATGGGAGGGTCAAATTGTGGATGACACAAACTTGGGAAAATGGAACTTTGATGCAGACTCAGATCTTTAATGTCATCCTTGAGAACAAGACTGTTGTTGCAGGAGGAGGCAGTGATAGGAAACTTGGACATATGGTCCATGGTGAGGCAACCTTTGGGAGAAGGCGGGGCTGGGGAAGACAATTAGTTAGTGAAGTGTGCAGCAGCCGCATGTGAGTTGGTTATATGAGAAGAGGGCATTCTGAAATATTGTTAAATTTGGGCAGGAGAATGTTTTCTCTGGTTTAGGAGCTTTCAGCTCTGGTTAGGAGTTCTAGAAACTCTGGTTTGACAATTCAACACCTCCTAGCAGTGCTACGAAGAGAAATAATGACCTAAATAACGGGTTGAAAGATCTATTTTACAGAAAATTAGAAGTTACAATTGTTAAGGGAAATAAGTAGAATTGGAGAGCTATCTATATAACAGAAATACTTTTTAGAGCTATCTATATAGAATCATCTGGAGCCACTGATCTAGCATCAAAGGGGCAGGGTGCTTCAGACAGAACTAATGCGAGAATTAAAGGTTAGTGTTCTAACATCACATTTATCACCCCAATCCACCACCCATCCATCCCTAACCTATACTAACATGCTTGGGGAACAAAAAAACATAAAATCGGTACATGCATACTCAATAATCATACCATTGTCATGAATTTCAGGCATTAGCACAAGACCACACATGAACATACAACCCTAAGCTTCTAACCCCAAGTTCTAACTAAGAACTTACCTTGAAGAGAATATTTTGAGTTGGGTGTTTGAGAGATGAAGAAAATGATGATGACTTATACACTTGATCACTGCCCTTCTTCAAAATGATGATGAAGACGAAGTCTTGCGACGACGGCCGGAGGACGGACGAAGACGGAGGAAGAAGAGTTGCGTTTGAAGAAGAGAAAAGAATGAATAATGTTATTTTGCTGTTTTAATTTATTAAATTAAAAATAATATAAGCTATAACAGCGCTTTTGAAAGCGCTTTCATAGGGGGGCTTTTACCAACGCTTTTTAGGGTAAAAGCGCTTTCATAGGTCCAGCTATGCCAGCGCTTTTGAAAGCGCTTTCAAAGGCCAATCTTCCACAGCGCTTTTTAAAAAGCGCTTTCGTATCCCCCACCTATGCCAGCGCTTTTAAAAAAGCGCCTTCGTAGGTTTCCCTTTTTTTTAATTTTGTTTTTTGTGAAGGCTATGGCAGCGCTTTTTCAATAAGCGCTTTAGTAGAGGCGCTGCTAAAAGCAGTTTTTGGCGTAGTGTCAACAAATACGTCACAAGTGTAAGATCCCTAACGATCTATGACCCAGAAAAGTTATCAAAATGGGAGGTATCAGGATAACCCACGAACCGAAAGGATGACCAGAGGGTAGGATATCAAAATATCCACCCGAAAAAGTGACATCAAGAGGGGAGGTATCAGGACAACCCGCGACTCGAGAAAATACGTTAGAAGGGTAAGATCCCTAACAATCTACGACCTGGAAATGTCATCAAAATAGGAGGTATCAGGACAACCCGCGACCCGAAAGGACGACTAAAGGGTAGGATATCAAAATATCCACCCGAAAATGTGACATTAGAAAGGGGATGTATCAGAACAACCCGCGACCCGAGGCAAGATGTTGGAAAGGTAAGATCCCTAGTGATCTACGACCCAAAAAAGTAATCAAAAAGGGAGATATCAGGACAACCCGCGACTCGAAAGGACGACCAAAGGGTAGGATATCAAAATATCCACCCGAAAGAGTTACATCAAGATGGGAGGTATCAACATAACCCGCGACCCAAGATAAGACGTCAGAAGGGTAATGTAATACGGTGGGAGAACTTACTTTTTGTTTCATCGCAAATGTTGCGGTTAGCAAGAGTCACCATTAACTTTTTTTTATAATATTTAGGAAAGGTGAAAAGAACAGGAAAGACCTTTGATATATTTTGAGTTCCGGGGGTAAGTTATGAAAAGGGAAGGTGTTAGCACCCTTTTCATCTGTAGTTATCTACGGGCTCTTAATTGCTTAGTTCACTTTAAAAGCTTGATTTGTGTGTGTGTGATTTGTTTGAAAATATTTTGAAATGCCAATGTAAGGCTGACTTTGTAATAATTCTTGTATCAGTCCTCAAGAATGCATACAAAGTGTTTTTTCGAAAATATTTGTTTGAAAGTGTAGTGTGAAAATGTATTTGTTTGTGAAAAAGGTTGTGAGCAAGCATTCAAGAGTTCTTACCCACTAATGTCTTTCTTGTTATTTCCCTCTCCTTGAGAGATATTATTATGCATACCATTAGTTGGTAGGTAATCCTATCTATTAGATATGAAGGGACAAGCGTAAGGTTATCATATGGTCATCGTAGGCAACATGTAAGGATACTTTAGAAATTGCATCGAAGGGACTATGATCATTTCATAGGAAACTCAGAGGGAGTAGATCATTTCATAGGAAACTCGGAGGGTTATCAAGGGACTATGATCTTTATTCGAAAGGGACTATGATGATATTATTAAATCGAGGGTCTTTTGCAAAAGTATTCATACTTTAGAAGGACATGACCAATATTCGTGAGACAACAAGAGAGGTTACCCTAGAGGTACAAGTGTGAAGAGTGTGTTAATTTATTTATGTTAATCTTGGGAATTAGAGTTATCTATTTCCAATTGTTAGTCTTTCCATGAAACCCTAATTACTAACAGATTAATATGTACAGAAAATTAAAGTGCATAATGTAAAATCCTACACTATTACATCCTTGGAGCAGATATATAATTATAAAAATGCGGGAATATTAAATCTAAGTTAATACAATTGAGAATGCAACATATACACTTGATCTATGAATTTAAATAGCAAAAATAAATAAGAAAAAGAATGTTAGAAAATTGTTAAAGACCTAAAGTTCTAAGTTAATGTTATTGGTGTTTTTTTGTAGAAAATAATAAATAGTAAATAAAACCTAATTATTTCTAATTAATTTTAATATTGAGAAAAATATAATTAATAAATACATAAAAATATGTCAAAAACCCTAATCTTAATTTGTTATGTTTAGAAAATAGTTAATTAAGAAAATATAATAAAAATTAGGGTTAGTAAAAATAGGAAACAAACAAATGCATGGGGTGGGAGTTGAACCCACGCCCTTGAAGTCACCAATGAGCATTCTTTACACCTGGCTAGCGTTGTGTTTGTGTTTGATAACGTCTAGAGCTCAACATATGTTAACCTTGTATTTTGCAGTGAAAAATAAAAGAAAAAATGCCCAAGGGATGGCTCGAACCCACACCCTTTACTATGTCAAACGTATCACTCACCACCAAGCCAATTGTTGTTGCATGTCAGTTAATTAGCATGAATTCAATATAGTATAAATCAAAATTAAGAAATTAAATTAAAATAAAACTAGAAAAGCACACATTGTGGTGGGGTCAAGTTTTTTTGAATGGACCAATCATATTGAGAGGATTGGCCACGTAAGAGTCAGCAGTTCAGATGGCCGGTCAAACCACCGTGGATGGTGGTTACAACCATCTTCTCCAATGGTGCTAAACATGAATTATGTGAAATCAACATCAAAAAACAAAACAAAGTGCCTATATTGGCTAGTTAAGAGGCTGCGAGTTTAATGGTATTGTTAGGTTGGCCTGAAAATGCGTGTTGCACATAATACGAATCTCAAGCGAAGGTTTTCCCTAACAATGGCGAATCTTCATCCCTACATCAAACCTCAAAGTTAATGGTTCAAAAAAATTCTAAACATGATTATGAACATATGTGAATGCTTTAAAACAATTTATATTGTGAGAAATAATAGTTTGAAATCGAAGAAAGTTACAAAACCGGGGCAACTTGGTGGGCACGTTCTAGGATGATTCAAGCTTGAGTGATGGTTGGGATGAACTCCTGGGAACCTAAGGAGTGTGATAAAATGCGTCGAATGGATTGATATATGTTGGAGATAAGGGTTTGAGTTTTCCCTAGTTCTTGAAAAATTTGAGATTTTTAGGGTTTATTCTTGAGGCAGCATGCGTGTTCCTTGGCATCTGAATGTGTCCTCTATTTATAATGCTTGGATTAGGTCAACAAACATGGAAAGGATTTTTTGCAATCATGGTCAAATATTTGATTTGAATTTTGCATGAAAAGTTTCTTTTTTAAGCTCAATATTTTGCCAATCATCCTCCCACGGTTTTGCTAGCTGGTTGTGAGCTTTTTGGGCTTCAAATCTGATCCAAAACAAAAGCCACACGCCTTGGTCCAATCATCTTGAAAATTTATTTGATTTATTTTAAAAATATGTGAATAAAATTAAAATAAAAAAATAAAAAAATCAAGGCCATGCATGGATGGACTTAGAGGTCCTCTAACATGTTATAAACATGTTTATACTTCAAAAGTTATGCCCATTAGTCCAAAAGTTCAAAATTGATCAATTTAGGCTTCATGCATTTCTCAAAATTTCCTCAACTTGCACGACTCATAACTCTCTCAATTTTTATCATATGAAGATGATCTTGGACTTTTTGGAAACCTCAAGATTTCTCCTATAACTTTCATGTTGGTCAATTTTTCATTTTAAGTATTAATATTTTTTTAAATTGCTTTGACAAAAGATGTCTTTTTGTTGACTTTTAAAATGACCTGTAATGTTTTGGCCCATATCTCTCAAATGAAGCATTTTTGGCCTTGAGCTTAAAGATACAAAGTTGTAGAGAATTGTATTTCCTTCAAGATATGCTTTGGTTGAGGAATTTCTGATGAAGTATGTGAAAGTTATGCTTGGTCAATGTTCAATTGACTTCTCCTTAAGAAAACCCTAATTTAGTAACTCTTGACTTTTGATGAATCTTAATTTCTATTGATGGAGCCTTGATCAAATGTTGAATGTGAGTTCAAAATATTGACGTAGACCCAAAATCTTGAAGTTTAACATTAAATTGGTCAAAGTTTACTTTTTGTCCAATACAATTGATTTTCAATCATCTGGCTAATTGACTAAGCAAATTTGTGATGTAAGGCTTAAAACATAGCATAAGGGTACTTTGAGACATATGAGAAACCATGAAATCCACTTAAGGCATTATAAGTCCAGTTTCCTTTGAGAGAAGAAACACCCTAGTTGTAGGTCAATTGCTTAGGAGGAGAGTCCATCTGATCAATCTTTGATAAGTATTGAGCAATTGA